ATGTTTTTTTTTTTTTTTTTTTAATTTAATAAATCTATATACATTACAATATTATTTTGATATCGTAATAGAAATTAATTGATTTATATTTTATTAATTATAGAATTGTAGGTTCTTTTCTATATCTAGAGATTTACCAGAAATTTTAATTATAACTAGATAATACCAAAGATTATATTTAGTTTTAATTAATTAAATCTATATACATTACAATATTATTTATATATCATAATAAAAATTAATTTATTTGTATTTTATTAATTATCATATTATAGTTTCTTTTTACTAGGGATATAATAGAAATTTTAAATTTAACTAGATACTATCAAAATGTATATTTTGTTTTAATTTAATTAATCTTCTATCTTTATACATTACAATATTAATAGAAATTGATTTATTTGTTATTATTATTAATTATTAAATCATAGTTATTTTTTTTTGCTACGGATATAATAGAAATTTTCTATATTATAATTTATTTGTTTGACTGTAAATTCATTGAAGTATCATTTTACGAATAATTTTAAAAGCTTGAAAACTCGTGGGAAATTTTTTTATCTGATTAAAATGAAAAATGATAGAATAATAAAACAAACAAAAATTATACATTATTATCCTAATTGTTACTAGATAAATACTTTGTATAAATCAATGTATAGTATAAATGTATTTACTTGGAAAAATTATGAACAATTTCTAAGAAATTCATTCTATAAATTCTACTAATATTGACGTTGAAATTCGTAATACAAAATGCATACATAAACACATATATATACACACACACACACACAGAACAGATAAATAGACAAATAAACAGACAGGTACGTGATAAATATTTATTTTCAAGAATTATTCAAGTAAATTTCCTATAAGACATTGTCAACCGACTAATAATAGGGAAATTAAAATTGAATTGTTAATAACACGATAGAAAAAAAAAAAAAGGAACCTTTTGTCTCCAACGAAAAAAATAAACGACGATGGAAAAAAAAGGAAAAGAATAATAAGAAGAAGAAGAAGAAGAAGAAATAGAAAATAAGGAAACACAAAAGGAAAATAAAATATGGTCGTGTTTGAATTCGCGTGTTTCGCGGAAGTGAACGGTCGCGAGTATGAACATTCAAGCGAGAAGCCATTTTCTCTTCTGGTTAATAATCAATTTCTCCTTTACCACGTTTATTATTCTTATGTTTGAAAGAAAAAAAAAAAGATATTATATATATATATATATACATCTTAAGTTAGATTATTTTTATCGATAAAAATTAATATCTTATGATAACTCATTTGTATAATTTTTGTTCTTTTTCTTCTTCTACTGACGAATATCTTTTTCTGTACGATATTATTCATTGGACTAAGGTCACGAGATCATTATCGAATAGGAAGGGGAAAAGGTGGAGGAGTGGGGATAAGAGTTAAAGATGGTGAATAGAATTTCAATGAGTTGAACGAGTTTCGTGACATCATCATCTCTCTTTTGCTCGTTAAATTCTGCAAAAAAATGGCACGACCGAGTTTCGTCTTCTTATATAGAAGTATATGTTTGTCTGTATATATATATATA